GTGCAGTGGCACACTCATGGCCACGGCAGCCTCAACCTGCTGGGCTCAGGTGATCTTTCCGTCTCAGCTTTCCAAGTAGCTGGAACCACAGGCAGGCGCCACCACACCCGGCTAATTTTTTGATTTATTGTAGAGACAAGGTCTTGCCATATTTCCCAGGCTGGTCTCGAACCCCTGAGTGCAGGCAATCCTCTCACCTCTGCCGAAAGTGCCAGGATTACAGGTGTGAGCCACTATGCCCAGCTTGTATTGATTTTTTTAAGCGAGTTCATTTAAATATAAAAATCGGGCCAGGCTTGGTGGCTCAGCCTGTAATCCCAGCACTTTGGGAGGCCAAGGCAAGTGGATTGCCTGAGCCCGCGGGTTTGGGATCAGCACAGGCAACTTGGCAAGATCTCGTCTCTACAATAAATCAAAAATTAGCCAGGCATGGTGGTGCATGCCTTTAGTTCCAGCAACTTGGAATGCTGAGGCAGAAGGATCGCTGAGGGCCTGCAGGTCGATGCTGGGGTGGCTGTGGCTGTGCTACTGCACTCCAGCCTGGGCAACGGAGTGAGACTCCAACTAAAAAAAAAAAATATATATATATATAAATTAGTAATAGTGGCAATATATATGTTAATAACAGTGGCAAGGTATGGACCATAATCTCAGCACTTTGGGAGGCTAAGGCAGGAGGATTGCTTGAGGCCAGGAGTTCAAGACCAGCCTGGGCAATATAGCAAAACTCCATCTCTACAAAATAAATAAAAAAAACTTTTGTAAAAAACAGTACAGCCGGGCATGGTAGCTTACACCTATAATCACAGCATTTTGGGAGACAGAGGCAAGAGGACTGCCTGAGCCCAGGGGTTCAAGATTAGCCAGGGCAATATGGCGAGACCTCATCTCTATAATAATTTAAAAATTAGCTGCGTGTGGTGGTGTGTGCCTGTAGTTGCAGCTACTTGGAAGGCTGGGGTAGAAGAATCATCTGAGCCCAGCAGGTCGAAGCTGTGGTGGCAGTGAGCGTGCCACTGCACTCCAGCCTGGGTGAAAGAGTGAGACTCAGCCGGGCTCGGTGGCTCAGCCTGTGATCCCGTGCCTTTGGGAGGCTGAGATGAGTGGATTCATCTCTACAGTAAATCATCTCTCTGAGGTGAGAGACTTCATCTCTACAATAAATCAAAAATTAGCCGGACGTGGTAGCGCGCGCCTGTAGTTCCAGCTACTGGAAGGCTGAGGCGGAAGGATCGCCGGAGCCCAGTAGGTCGAGGCTGCGGTGGCCGGGAGTGGCCACTGCACTCCAGTCTGGGCAACAGAGTGAGACTCCAACTCAAAAAAAAACAAGAGTGAGACTCTGGGAAAAAAACTGTGACAGATCACATACCCAAGGCTGGACCTGGGTGGGTGGAAGCCTGGGACATCAGGACACCGTGATTCTAGGAACCTACTCAGCCCTGAGCTTATTCTTTTCTTTTCTTTCTTTCTTTCTGTTTTTATTTTTTGAGACGAGGTCTTACTCTAGGCAGGAATACAGTGGCACCATCATAACTCACTGCAGCCTCAGACTCCTGGGCTCAAATGATCCTTCTAGCTCAGCTGGCATTATAAGTGCATGCTACCACACCCAACTAGTCTTTTCTTTTCTTTTTTGAATTGGAGTCTCACTCTGTCACCCAGACTGGAGTGCAGTGGCACGCTCCCAGCCACCACAGCCTCGACCTGCTGGGCTCTGGTGATCCTTCCGCCTCAGCCTTTCAAGTAGCTGGAACTACCAGCGTACACCACCACACCCGGCTAATTTTTTTGATTTATTGTAGAGATGAGGTCTCACCAAGTTGCCCAGGCGGGTCTCGAACCCGCAGGCTCAGGCAATCCACTCACCTCGGCCTCCCAAAGTGCTGGGATTACAGGCTGAGCCACCGAGCCTGGCTAGTCTTTTCTTTTTTAAAATTTTTAGTAGAGATGGGGTCTCACTATGTTGCCCAGGCTGGTCTTGAATGTCTGGGCTCAATCCTCCCACCTTGGCTTCCCAAAGTGCTGTGATTACAGTCCTCAGCCACTGCCCCAGGCTTCCCAAGTGCACTCTGACCAGTACCTATGCATTCTGATGGTTAAATATGTGATGTCAACACTGCTCAAGTGTGCATGTGGAATCCCCAGACCTATGGAAGAGGACAGTTGGTAATCTACTGAGGGAGAACAGGGGTACCCAGAACTTGGAGAAGACCATCTTTATCACCCTGCACAAGTCCCATCAAGACAGACAGACATGGCCGGGCACAGTGGCTCAAGTGTATAATCCCAGCACTTTGGGAGGCTGAGGTGAGAGGCTTGCCTGAGCCCAGGAGTTTGAAACCAGCCTGAGCAACTTGGTGAGACCTTGTCTCAACAATATATCAAAAAAGTTAGCTGGGCGTGGTAGTGCATGCCCGTGGTTCCAGCTACTTGGAAGGTTAAAGTGGAAGGATCGCCAGAGCCCAGCAGGTTGAGGCTGTGGTGGCCACCAGCGTGCCACTGCACTCCAGCCTGGGCAACAGAGTGAGACTCTGACTCAAAAAAAAAAAGACACAGAAATGTCTGCGCTGGAGAGGCACAGAATCCTCCACAGACAGAGGACTGGGGAGAGGGCTTGGGCCACCCAAAGTCTCTCTGCAACTCCACTGGGCTGAGCTGGCAGGAGACCTGGGTCTGGTGGGAAAACTTAACCAGGTGATGGGGCAGAGTGCCCAGACTGAGGTTAAAGGTCAGAGGCAGACGGGTGGCCAACAGTCCGGTGTGGATTGTCTAGCCCAAGGTTCCAGGAAACCCCCCAGTCCCGGACACACCAGGACTTTTGGTCACTCTAGAGGCAGTATTTTTTATTGGTGAACTCTCCCAACAGCTCGCAGATCCCTACAGACCAGCTTCTGGGCTTTGCCGCCATCCCATTTGCCAGACAGATGAGGCAGAACCAACATGCTGGGTGCCAGCTCTGCAGGCTGTCAGTAGCCAGCTGTCTGCCAACCAAGTCCGGCCTGGCTACCCTCTCTCCCCTGGAGAGGACCATGGAGTTCGATACTGCCTGGCCCTTTCCTTGGGCACTCCTCCCACCTTAAGGCCAGCACTAGCTCTGATTGGTCATACTAGTTATTAAACACGTGACGCCACCCCCTCCCTGGGAGCAGCATCTCCCTGATGCTGTCACAAACCCTCCTGTTCTTCTGGTCTCCCAAGCGATTGTGCCATCAGACCCCCTGGGAGGGGCAGAGAAGGGGACAGCCGAGGGTCAGTCCAGCCCCAAAGGACTCCCACCAAGGGCTGCTCATCTGCCCTGGGGACGCATGACTCACTCGAGCCCAGGATCCTGGCAAAACACGGGGTGCACTGAGCCCCTGATGTTCCTAAGCCCTTGTCAACACCCTCCGGCCCCTTAGAAGCAGTCACCATGCCAGTCTTTAAGTGCCCGAGGAAGTCGGAGCCCCTGTGGAAGGGGTGGGACCAGAAGGCCCAGAAGAATGGATGGCGGCACCAGGTGTGCGCAGTGAACGGCGACCACTATGTGGGCGAGTGGAAGGACAACATGAAACATGGTGAGCGGGGACTGGAAGGGTTTGGGCAGCCAGAGTGGGGTCGGAGTCATGGTGAGTGAGAGGGCTTAGAGAGCAGTGTGCAGAAATTGGAACCTAAGACATGTACCCAAGTCTCCCCAAGGGGTTGAGTGCTGACCACGACTAGCCGTCCGGGGCGGGGGCCTCTACAAGCTGGGGGGGGGGTCTGGAACCAGCCCTGACTTCAACTGGGCAAGGGCCTCGGTACCAGCAGGGGACAAAAGCCTTTATTTATTTTTTTTTTTGGAGTCTCACTCTGTCACCCAGACTGGAGTGCAGCGGCCGCTCCCGGCCACCGCAGCCTTGACCTGCTGGACTCCGGTGATCCTTCCGCCTCAACCTTCCCAGTAGCTGGAATTACAGGCATGCACTACCAAGCCCGGCTGATTTTTTTATTTTATTGTAGAGATGAGGTCTCGCTGCCCAGGCGGGTCTCAAACCCGCGGGCTCAGGCAATCCACTCACCTCAGCCTCCCAAAGGCGTGGGATTACAGGCTGAGCCACCGAGCCCGGCTAACCTTTATTTATTTATTTATTTTTTTTGAGTTGGCGTTTCACTCTGTTGCCCAGACTGGAGTGCAGTGGCACACTCATGGCCACTGCAGCCTCTACCTGCTGGGCTCTGGCAATCCTTCCGCCTCAGCCTTCCGAGTAGCCAGAACTACAGATGTGTGCTACCACGCCCAGCTATTTTTTATTTTATTGTAGAGATGAGGTCTCGCCAAGTTGCCTGGGCTGATCTTGAACCCATGGACTCAGGCAATCCACTCGCCTCAGCCTCCCAATGTGCTGGGATTACAGGCTGAGACACCGAGCTCAGCTGGGACAAAAGTCTTGAGAAACCAGCCTGTAGCCAGGGCTCTGGGGACCCAAGCTCAGGCCCTTGAGACTTGGACTGAGCATGGGGGCTTGTTGGTTAGAGGAAACACCAACAAGCCAGCTTGTAACTGGGATTCTGGGCTTCAGACTCAGCCATGGTGCCCTGCAGAGGGCTGAGCTCAGGGCTCCAGGGAGGGAGGATCCTCTATCCCCAAAAGCAGCTGGGGCTCCCACTAGACTAACTGGACTGGGCTCTGGGTGTGACCAGCAAGGGGCGAGGGGGTCCCGGTGGTACAAACTAAACCCTGATGGGGGGAAAGAGAGAGCTTTTATTTATTTACTTATTTAGAGTAGGAGGCTCACTTTGTCGCCCAGGCTGGCGTGCCGTGGAACGATCACGGCTACGCAGTCTCGACCTGCTGGGCTTCAGTGATCCTTCCATCTCAGCCTTCAAGGTAGCTGGAACCACAGGCACATGTCACCACGCCCAGTGAGAGCTTTTATTTTAAAAACAAGGCAGGGCTGCTCTTGCAGTTCCAGATTCTGTGTTATTATTATTATCACTACTATGATTGAGATAGGGTCTCACTGTTTCACCCAGGCTCATCTTGATCTCTTGGCCTCAAGTGATCCTCTCCCCTCAGCACTGGGATTACATGCATGAGCCACCGCACCAGGCTACATTCTGTACTTTTTTTTTTTGAGTTGGAGTCTCACCTTCTCCCAGGTTGGAGTGCAGTGGCATGCTCATGGCCACCGCAGCCTTGACCTACTGGGCTCAGGTGATCCTTCTGCTTCAGCCTTTCCAGTAGCTGGAACTACAGGCACGTGCCACTATGCCCAGCTAATTTTCTGATTTATTGTAGGATGAGGTCTCGCCAAGTTGCCTGGGCTGGTCTCAAACCCACGAGCTCAGGCAATCCTCTCACCTCAGCCTCCCAAAGTGCTGGGATTATAGGCATGAGCCACTGCCCTGGCCCATTCTGTATTCCTTTTTTTTTTTTTGAGTTGGAGTCTCACTCTGTCGCCCAGACTGGAGTGCAGTGGCCGCTCCCGGCCACC